AAATGGGATGCAGGAAGATTGTGCTTGAAGGAGACTCTCGGATAGTTTCAAACTGTTTGACAAAAAAGGATGAGGTACTATCCAACATAGGCCCAATTATTCATGATGGCAGAAGATGGGTAAGGAAGTTTGATATATGCATGATAGAACACACGAAGAGAGAAGGAAATGAGGCAGCTCATTCACTTGCACAATATAGTTTGCAGCTAAATAGCGACAGGTTTTGGGTAGAGGATTTTCCAGATTCGATAACTTTAGCTGTACTAATGGATATTGCAAGTTTAAATAAATGAAAGGAGATTTTATATTAAAAAAAAAATTATATGTCATAATTCATGTCCAAATGCGTTTTTTTTTGTGAAACCCATACATAATTATTATTAAAATTTTAAACTATGTTATTTTCGTATCCTTTATTCTAATCGTGTTCATGTTGTATCACTATATTATATTTTAGATTATTAGATTTAAATAAAAGTGTTACAAGGACTAGGTTCTTTGTGTAGGCCTAATAGCAAAGTAACATTTAATTTATTTAAAATTTCCTAATTTATCATTTTTTAATATTTATTTATTTGAAGAACATATTATACATTTATACTTTTTCAAACTTACAACCTTTAAATACTAATTTTAATAACATGTTAACTGATTCAAATTTCAGTCAACAGTAACATTTAATATTTTAAAAGTAAAACAATTGTAAGATGAGTTGATAAACATATTTTATTTAGTGATTTGGATTTTGTTTAGCATTGCTATTGAAAGTAGTTTTTGCATTCAAAAGCTATTTTTGACGTAAACACAATGCTAAATGATAAAAATTTTTGGCTTTCAATCCAAAAACTTGATTTTCCAACCCAAATCAAAAAGCTTCTTAAGAAATGCTTTTGCAGCGAAAAAGTGTGTTTTGCATAAAAAATTACTTTATCATGTTTATATTTCTAATATTTTATTATTTTTAGTAAATTTCATAAAAATAATCTATGGTTAAGGCCAAAATAAAAGTATCCCTTAGAGATTTAAAACGTGTCACTTAACTACCATATGATTTATTTTATTATTTTTTATCCAAAACTATTACTTTTTCTGTTTTTTTATTTTTATTTTTTTTCTTCTTCTTCATCTTAATCCATCATCTCTCTCTAAAACAAAACCAATTCTTTCTCTAAACCCAAATCAATCCACAAATAACAACCTTCAAACCACTAGAACCTCTACACCACCACCACCATTACAAGTTCACATTACCACCAAACTTCATTGTTAACTCATTCTCTCTCACTAAAAATTCATTCCCCAAAACCACCTGATTTCACATACATTAAGCCTATCACCATTTTCATTGTTGACCTAAGTAGATAAATATAATTGAAAGCTTTCATTAATGAAAACCTTTTTTACTATGGATAAGGTGCTACTAACATCATTTAAGAGGCAACTTAAAAGACCCAGTTATTTGGACAACTTGTCATCTAACTTGGTCAAGTTTTGCCGACAATTTCTTTCACATTAAATCAAGCTCGAGGCCTTGTTATCCCCATACCAATTTTCAAATTTATACCAAAAGCTTTACTGCAATTTAATAGAAAATAAAACACCTCTGACAAACTAATAATCACATGAAGATAGTTGTTACATCTTATGTATGTCCAAAAGTTTTATATATCAAAAACTGCTCCCAGCAACATAAGCATATGTTTCACTCCATAAAACCAAGAATCTAGGACTGGAAAGAGTAGATATGGGTAGACCATGAAGGAAAATTTTAGATTAATTTAGAAATACACAGAAAACCCATTCACCTTACTAACGAAATGGGAGAATAGGAGCTTACTCTCCACCTCTAGATTAAGGAATGGTATTCTTAGTTCATGAATCCTTAGCTGTTGTAAAAGCAGCAGTTTGACAAATTCTTCATTGATGAACATCACAATTATATACACGAGCAATAGTTACATGGGTAATGACACTAAAACGATAAAGAACTAAAAACCAACAAATGTTGAGATATATAATAAACATATGGAGAAGTCATTAAGCATGATTAAGGCAGACAAACTAATTATATATTTTTCCATCCTTTGCAAATGAACAGAACTTATAGTTTGGCACCTCTAGGGTTGAACCATTTTGCACACATCCAATGAATTTTTAGTGAGAGAAAATGAGTTAACAATGAAGGCTGGTGGTGATATTAACTTGTAATGGAGGTGGTGGTGTAGAGGTTTTGGTAGTTTGAAAGTTGCTATTCGTGGATTAGTCTAGGTTTAGAGAGAAAATTAGTTTGATTTTAGAGAGAGAGAATGAAATTTTAGAGAGAAAGGATGAATTTTTAGAGAGAAAGGATGAATTGAGATGAAGAAGAAGAAAAAAAATAAGAAATAAAAAGAAACAAAAAAGTAATGGTTTTGAGTAAAAAAAATAATACAACATATTGAAAAGTAGTTAAATGTTACGTTTTAAACCTCATGGGGAATTTTCATTTCGGTCTTAACCATATGGAATATTTCTAAAATTTACCCTATTATTTTGTAAATATATTTTTAAACATTTCAATTACTCACATCAATTTTTCAATGTAACACCAAACACTTAGAATTTCTAATTATACTTTCTCATCACATTTTTTAAATATATATTTGAAATGCAATAGCAATGCTAAATTAACCCTTAGTATATATATTTTTGATAGTGGTAAGGTGTTATGCTATTCAATAACATGAGAACTTATAAAATGTGTTTGATGAATAAGATTATAATAGAACAAGAACAGAGATTCAAATAGTGGTGGAGTAGCAATGTAGCAGCCGCTATTTCATAGTAACGCCATTGTCTGCCACTACTATTGACGAAAAAAGGACGAGAATTTGAATCACGACAGTAGCGGTAGGTAGCCACCACGAAAAATGGCAAATCGATGAGTAGTGGTAATATCGGTCTGTTATCAATCGCTACTTCGTTTTTGGTTCAAACATTCTATGTAAAAAGCAAAATAAAAAAATCATTTAGGTTAAAATCTTCAAATAAAAAATTATCTTAGGCTGGTAGAGACTTCAATCCACAAATACATCCTTACAAAACATCAAGCACAAGCAATGCAACACTTAAATTACTTTTTTTGTTGAAAATTTTGAAAGCTTCTTGTGATTTTTTGTTGAATGAAACTGGACTCTGTTGGTGAAAGTTGCTATGTGTGCTAAATTGAAACTCTTGATAAGAGAGAGTTAAGAGGCAAATAGAGAGACTGTGAGTGGGAATTGGTATTATGGGTGTGTAGGAATGTTGAAATCGGTATTTGGGTTTGTGGGAATTGGGATGAGAGATAACCTGGGTGAAAAATGAGAGGGAAATCGAGAATGGGTTGGAGATTGGGGGAAAGTTAAGGAAAATAAAGAGTGAAGAGTTAATGGTAAAAATGCAAGGCATAAGGGGTTTGTGGATTTTTTTTTGGAATTTTTTAATTTTTGTCTAATAGGGATTTTTATTTAGAGAAAAATTTATTAATTTATGATTTTATATTTGAATTTTAGTAATGATTTTTCTATTGTTAATTTTTTTAAGATTAGATTAGTTCTGATTATTTTTTGTATAATTAAATAATAATTGAAAATGTTGTTTATTATAGAATAAATAAAAAGTAATTTATGGTAAAAATGTTAAATTAATAAATATGAAATTACTTAATAAATCGAGCTTTTTATAATCTAATAAAATTATATTTTTTAAATTTGTACTATTATTATATATGATACTTGACATTTAATATGTTTTACTTTATTAATATATATTTAGTTTGCCTGAAATTAATACTAAATATGAACTTTTCTTAAGGAAAGATTTGTTACTAAATCAAATATAAATACTTTATATAATCTCAAAAAAATTATGAATAATTTTTTCTAAGTAAATAAAATATTATAAACCACTTTTTAAATTACAAAATAAGAATTTTTATAATTATAATTATAATTACTTCATTTTGTATCAAGTTGTGTAAATTAAAAAAAATTCATGACTACAATAACTACGATGATCTCTGTTATATTTGCAACCATGATAAACATAACACGACAAAAATATAACCTTGACCATAATTTAAATCCTTGGATAGGATAAATTGATATTATAAATATGATTAAATTAAATAATATTATCTTATTTTATGTTTAATATGTGCAATAATTTAGATAAGATAATTTTATTTATTGATTAAAATTATCATTTTTCAAAGTTTATAAAATTTAAATTATTAATGTAATTTTTAAGGGTATAATAAAACATGTAAATTTAATTTCATGGATTAAAACTAAATTTCTTCACTTTGAAAGGATTGAATCACTTTATATCAAAAAATTAATTAATCTTCCTTAAAATCCTATCCATTTTTTATATATAAATCAATTATAATATAAAATAATTATTATTCTATTCTTTTCATCATCTTATACATCCAAGATGGCCCCAACTACATAAAGAATTATTTGTGTATTAAGTGAAAGTTTCACTAAAATTTGTAACACCGTCCATCGGAAAATGGCCTTTCAGCAGTTTTTTTTTTATGTAGTACAATGTCAAAACATCCCAAAAACTAAGTTTTCGAGTCCCATCTTTGTTCAACAGATTGAACAACTCCCTGTTCATCATCCGTACATGGTTTCTTTGCTTCATCATCACCATCAAATTCTCGCGTCTTATTTTGCCATCTCTGTTTGGATTCATGGCGTCGAAAAATCCATTTGCCCTTTCCTTGATGTTCTCCGGTCTGATTCATAATATGCCTTCGCAGCCACTCTTAATTCTTCCATTTCTCTTCAGGCGTGATTTATGTAGGACAAAATTTTTGCAACTTTTTACAATAATGTCATGATGAATGAATGCTTTGTTACAATTTTAAGAAATGAAGACTGAAGGGAAGATAATTTTTATTATTTGTGACCTTCTATGTGTTTTAACAAATTATTATACTTTAAACTAAAGGTGTTTGAATTGAAAAAGATTTTTAATTTGATTCTCATATAGCATCTAGGCAGACTCCATTCCCCTTCAAAGGAAATAAGGAAGGTGGGTGGGACAAAGGAAATAACAAATTTCCTGTATTGGCAAGTGGAGGAAAGAAGAAGAAGTGGAAACAAATAAATGAGAGCAAATATTAGACTAGGATGTGTAGATAGTTGGAATATGTGAAAACTGTACAATAATACTGTGAACAGGTATGCTGCCCATACTAGCTCCAACTGAATAATCCAAAACTAGTAGACAGCTGTTTAAGTATAGCATTTGTCAGTTGAATAAGTAGTTGACATCTCACTTGGACATTGAGGTGAATCCCATGGTAGATTTGGAGACAAGCTGAAAGGAAATCCTATTGGTTGGATAGTCCCCCAACGGTTATCCTCAGGGGTTGCATTCGAATTCTTCCTCGTGCCCTCCTCACTTTCTCCTACACCTGTATTGCCTTGCATATCTTGGGTTAAACTGATTAAGAAGCCGCTGTATTGGTGTTGTTGCCCTCCGAAATCTATACTGTCGGAGGCCTTGCTAACATCAGTGATCAATGGTGGGCTTAATAGCATGTGATCAAGCCGTGAAAACATGAAGTTGTAGTGAAGGTCTCCATTGGAAACAGGAAGTGAAGTTGGTCTATGGACTGTAGGATTGAATGATTTATAAGAAGGAATATCTGGAGCAGAAAAACTAGCATTGGAGACTTGTTGTAGTTCACTATTGCTGCATAACTGTATTGCTGATCCCATTTCGGTTCTGCAAGAAATGTTCTCTGAACTGAATTGACTCAACTTAGTGCAAGGTAAACCTTGGTGGAGTATATCAGATGCTGTAGTTTCTGGAAATGAGGATATCCAAGAGTGAGAAAGAGCTTTCTGAGCCATTGAATTGGTCTTTTTGAATATCTTACAAATAGCCCATGCATCCTGTGGAATATGGCAAATTAAAGAAACTCATAATTTCAGACTGTTCATAATTAAAGAAAACATTGGACAATTAATTCAACGATCATTACATTAGCAGGAAGGCTTTTGTTTAAAAGCTTATTTGGTGGTGTTGAGTCTGAGAGTGAAGGTAGCCGAAATTCATGCATCATCCAGTCTGTTTTAATCCCTTTGGCAGCTCTTCCTCTGTAGAACACAAGGGACTTCTTCAAACCAATACACTCGGTGCCATCAGATGAGTAAATAGGCCTGTCTGTTCCAGTTGCCTTCCAAAATCCGGCTTCTGTGACTCTGTTAGGCCTTGCACTATTTCTGTATTTACGGTCTCTTGGGCAGTAGAAATACCACTCTTTCTCCCCTGAAGCTGCTGGCTCTGCTTATAAAATGAAAAAAAAGAAAAGTACTCGTAACTTTTCCTCATAGCTAGAGGGACCAAGAAAAAGTAACAGACAAGTTTTTGGACACTGGACAGCAGTGATGTTGAAACTTTTGTGAGCTTATGCCCCAGAATCTATCACTAAGGATTGAAAGGAAATTTCTTTAAGTTTCTTGGAAGCCAAACAAAGATGAATTTGCTTTATTTGAGTAAAGTGAATCACCATAGAAGGAAAGTAAAGCCAAATTCTGACCAAGTACTCATGTAATAGAGTATGGAAATGATGAAAACTCACTTGGTAGATCCCATGGTTCATGTTTATATATGTCTACTTGCTTGATCAACTCAATGGGCAAAGGTGTCTGCTGAATCTTTTTCTTAAGGTAAAATCCCTCATCTGTTGGATGAAATCGAAAACCAGGCAGCATCACATCTTCAACCTTATCAACATCATTCTTCTCATCCTTGTTACTTTTACTTCTCTCCTCAGAGTACGGCAACAAGTTAATGAAAATTTGTATAAACTGGATATAAAACGCAAAGGCCTAATTGCGTTCGAAATCCTGAAATTCGAAGCTAAACTATTGATGAAACAATTGGAGCCTATGCTCTGAAGCAGTTCCTGGACATGAACTCAAAGACAGAACCAAGTTTACAGTACGAGCTTAGTTCACTTGTTTCAAAGCCATTATAAGCTTCCTGGAAAGGGTTCTGCCTCCGAAGCTAAGGCCGCCCTTTCAGGTTTACTCTAAGGGAGAGCGTGTTTATGCGAAAGTCACGATGACTTTGGTGAGAATTTGAGCTTAAGTTGAGCCAAGCTAAGCTCTCTCTAAAGAATGGATTTTCATGGAAACTCAAGTCAAGGGAATAAGAATTTTAATTCAACTCCTTTTTATTCTCAACCCCATATGAACCTGTTTCAATCCAATTTAATGATCTGAATATGACTCCAAAACCAGCTGTTTTTTGGGTTTTTCAAAATCAAATTGTTTTCACACACCTGAAAATCAAAGATAAGATGACAGAGCAACCTTCCAATGTATCATACTATTTTAATGTTTTTTTTTCTTTGCCTAAATTAATCTTTGCTTGAATACTATTTAAAGTTTTTTGGGTCAAGGCTGGACCAACTATCAACACAATAATTTCAATTTTATATTTAAATCCATGAGATTCTCTCAAAATTCCTCTAAAACCCCTTTTGGGGAAAAATATTAATTCTTATAACCTTGATCCAAAAGCTACCCTTTCTATTCCTTTCCTCATTTTATGTCACATATGAACAGATCAGCGGCCAGAGGCCAAAACTGGACCCACTTGACCCCTCCTGAAAACACATCTTGCTGTATACATGAAAGGAATCAATGAACAATTTGTTAACGTATTAAAAAGGATTTATCCATGCATCTTGGATTTAGAGTCTTTTTTTTTTTTTTTGTAGAAAGTAGTTAACACTAATGATTATGGAAACGTTAGGCAAACAGTTCAGCTTTGAGATTAATGTGATTGCACTCAGTTAAAAATAGACAGTTCGAAAGAGATTAGCAGCTCAACTACTTGAAATACTACTGGTAAGACCAATGATATTGACATGATTAATTAAAACTTTAAGATTGTTTTTTCTCATTTTTAATTGTCTTTCAAAAGCAATTAATTTTAACATTTGTGGGGTATCTAAGCATTTGCTCAGTCAATTATGATTGTTTTGGTTACCCAAAGTTATGGGAATTTTCACTGAGAAAAATGTATACCATGTGCTAATAATGATAATGGGAGGGCAAAAGGACTGTGCTTAAATATTTAAATTAATTGTCCTGCTAAGTTTGCTATAGCCAATATTGTCTGGTAGATGGATAGCAAGTGATACAACATTTAATAATTAGGTAAAGATCCTTTGGTCAAATGGCCGAATGCACTCGTTGAGAACTCTTGCACGTTCCTTAACCTTGGGCCTACAAAAATGGGTCAAAATCTTACAATCTAAGCTATTCCATCTCTTTCTATATATGTGAAAATTCACCTCATAAACATAAATCAAGTTCCCGACGTGAAAAACCCACATGAAGGTTATTGACTAATACCAACCTTCTATAATCAGGCCAGCAAATTATTTTCTAATAGTAATGTTTTCAAACTAAACTACTCTCCATCGCCATGTCACTTATTTATTAAACTATTTTCAAGTATTTAACATGTGATGTGTTCTGTTTCCGAACAAAAAAAAATTCAAGTATATATAATTCTTAGTAATGTACTCATTTAAATTGCATTGCTCAATGGTACAAACATGTCATCAACTGAAGTGTGGAATTCACAATTTAGAAGTGAAAAAAGTTCTATTTAATTATGCATCTATTTTTGCTTTTGGGGTTCATTCACAATTGTACAAAACAAACCGGTAATGATATATTAAATTTGATAGTCATCAGAAATATGAGATAGAATATCACCTTGATTTTCAATAGAAAAATTCATGTTGTCAAAGTAGGATCAATAAGAGCCAAAATAAGTCAATAAAATAAGAAAATGACCAAATTGCAAATTTTCAAGCTATATTACTCCTTTGTAGCTAGCCTCAAGCCGTCAATATTGTCATCATGCAAGGGGATCGATGAAGCTTGGTAGAAGCATGAGGAAAATCATTTTCGCTTATTATGAATATTTTTATAATCCTATATATATATAGTTGCAATAACTTGATTGCTTTCTTGTAAAGTTAAAACTAAAATCCTTTTTTTTTTCCTAATTGTCATAATGCAAAGCCGCTAAACCCCATTCGAACTAATTAAAACTTGAGTTGTGTAAGAAAGGAATTTTATTTCAATAAAAATTCTAATTTAGAGTTGTAATATATATATATATATATATATTATAAAAGAAGTTATAACTTGAGATAGAAATAAAAGTTACATATGCTAAAATTTAAATTTCAAGTTTTTAAATGCCATATTTTAAGAGCGATTGTATGGATTAACTGATTTAAGCTTCAAATTCAAATGTAATACTCTTTGCATAATAATAATTATAAAAAAAAACACAACCATGATCTTCTTTATCAAAAGAAATGAAAAAACCCAATTTTGTTAGGATCAAATTGAATTTATTTGATTTTTATGCTTAATTTACTTATTCTTATTTGCACTGGTTTAAGCATTAAATCGAATTGGATTTGTTTAAGCTTATTTCGGATTAGTCATTTTTAATTTTATTATTATTACTATCATCATCATCATCAACAACAACATTTAAGATTAATCAAATTAATTAAAAAATTATAAAAAAAATAATTAAAATTAAATTAAAAAATTTACAAAAAAGGGGCAGAAAAATAGAAAACAACAAATCAATAGCTAGCAATTTAGGTCATGTGAGGTCGAAATTTTCAAACCCTACACTCTACCATTACTTTGTACTCCACTACTTTACCATATTGAAGCTTTGGATTGTTGTTACAAAATTGCCAAATAAAAATAAAGATGAAGATACATAAAAAGGAGGGGCCGACACCAAGGGAAGCAACAATTTTTTTCAAGTTTCGGCTTCTTTTCCCAAGTCATCAACCCTACCCAACTATCAACCAACACCTAAAAATCCCATCACCTAGCCTTCACTCACCCTAGCACAGTTTTTTTCTTCTACACACCTTACCAGAACCCAACTCAAGCCTTCATTTACCTCTCAAATCACCTGGCTTGGCACCTCGCCGATAGCTATTAACCCTCTTCAATATAGAATCCATAGCCACCAGCCAAAATCCTTCCAAACAATAACACCTCCATTCCATTGCCCTGGTATAAACCCAGCTTAAGCCCTTCACTAGCCTTGCCCAATACTAGCTTCGGCCTACCTTTTAGCGCAAGCCCCTTACCAAAAGCCATCAATTGATTACCCTTATTCAAGCTACCACCTTTACCAATCTTATCTAGTATCAACCCTAGCCTACACCCAAATGAATTATGACCAAAAGGTCAATTTTTGCTCACCCCCACCTCACCAGAACCTTTCCTTACATGCACCAACCCATAGCACATACCAAAACCACAACCAAAAGTCATCCTTTAATTGCCTTTATTTATCTTAGCTACGACATTCCCCAGCCTTGAATCATATCGACTTTGGCCTATGACTAAACGAATCACAACCAAAAGAATAGCTTTGGCTCACCCTTACCTCACCAAAACCGTCCCTTACACACACTAGCCCACACCACACACTAGAGCCCACACCAATTTCCTTGAAAGCCCACTGTTGTTTCCCTAAAACTATTCCCCACAACCAGGAGGTAACAACCCCACCAACACCCTTCCACTCCTTTACAAACTATCACACATTCATTACCAACCACCCAATCCAATCCTAAACCTTCACCATGAAACTATCTACCTTCATCATTATTTCTTAACCCATAACAAAAATAAAACTCCCTATTCCCCTTCACTACCCACCATAAAAACCCTTAAGTTGCACTAGAAACCACTCCCAAACAACCTTTCCAACCTATAAAAAAAAATCACTAGAAAAACCCACAAACAAGATATAAAAAAAAAATAAAAACAAAAAAACCACCCAAAACCAAAATCTAAAAAAAAAATCAAAATCTTCCCCATAGGGAGGAACTATAGCACCAAAATCTCCTTATTCAACAAAAAAAAGTCGTACTTCTCTTAAAAATAAAATAAAATAAATAAATAAAGCAAAAACTTTATGAATTATTAGGCTTAAGAGAACTCCTAAGAAGGTTATTGGGTTCGTGAAAGAAGAAGAAATGGTAGCAAGCTATCATTTACAACAGAAGAACGACAAAGTGAGGAGGAGCTTAGGCGACTCGAGCTTTGGTTCTTGGGAAAAAAAAGGAAAGAGAAAAAAAAAAGAGAAAGACAAATAAAAAAAAGGGGAAAATCAGAGTTGTCGGCCATTGGTAATGGCGAATGATGGCTATAGGCATGATGATCTGCATGTGGAATGGTGTCAATAGGAACTCGGTGGAAAGCTATTGGTTTTTCTTTGAAAATGAGATTTTTTTTTTTAGAAGAGGTTGGAAATGATTTTCAAGAAAATTTGGCTTTTATAACAAAAAAAAAATGAATCGGGTCAAAACTAACCTACCCAACTGGCTAACCAAAACCTGTGGCCCATGACCTATTAGCCAACTCACTTCAGTGGCTTAATCTCCCTACACAACATTTTGGGTGATAGTTGGGCTTCAAGCGCTTAAACTTGGTGGACCTGCGACTTTGGGCTTCAACATCAAATTTGTGGTATAATTCTTATACATTTTTTTTATTTTTTTGTTTGAATGCTTTTACATTATTCATGATAATTATATTTTTATAAAATAAGGTTGCCTTGAAATCATTAATAATGCTTGTGAAAGTATCAACACTATAGATAATTATATATACATATATATATATGTGTGTGTGTGTTTTTGTGAGAATTTTTATTATTGAATGTTTAAAGAAAATGAAGATTTTTTCAATGATAGGACTCCAAGAAGTCCGAGTAATATTCTTGAAAATTTTCTAGGTGAGAAAATATTTCTAAAAATTACCAAAGTGTTAGAATATTTAGAAACTTTTTTCAATATAAAAATTTTATTTATTTATTTTTTCTTTAATTTGAATAATTTTCTTAAAAGAGACAAAAATATAAAATATATATAAAAGTATGCATTTTTTAATAAATAAATTTATTTCTAGATAATTATATTATTATATAATTTTTAAATATCAATAATTATTATAAAATTAAATGAAAAAATTATCAAGGATAAAATTTTAAAAAAATCCAAGTAGTGATTTTTTTTTAAATCTCTAAGTAAGAAAATTTATCTAACATGCCACCAACGTATTGAAGCATTTAAAATAATTTTCGATAATAATTTCTCATTTAGTAATAGAAATGAAGTTTTAGAAAATATCATTTAATTTTAAATTATAGATATAAAACTTTCTGTTTTTTAAAATATAAATATTAGAGATAGATATAAGCCATCGAGTATAGGATTTTAAGAATTCTGAGTAGCGATTTCTAAAAAAATTTTAAGTGAGAAAGTTCCTCTTAATATTTTAAAAGTATTAGAATATTTTTAAAAATTTTTCAATAAATAAGGTTCTTATTTAGTTTTTCCAACCAAGAAAAAAATAAAAATAAAAATATGTTGTTTTACTACAATAAAGAAGAAAATTAATTTTTAAATACCAAAATAAGATCATTTTGTCAAAATTAAAGGATAACGCATAATTAATTGATACCATTTTAAATGGACGTCGTGAGTGCGCTAATCTTTCTTTACATGTAATCGATTCCTAAATTCAAATTATTTTTGTAGACCAAAAAATTATTTCTTTAGTATATTAGAATTAATTTAAAAATTTTATTAAAAGAATAAGTTTTAATTTGTTATAAATCACAAATAATGAAAAAAAAAGATAAGTAATGATTTTTTTTTAATTTTCAAATTTATCTAGCACTCTCCAAAATTGTTACCACAAAAAGACCACATAAACTAAGAATATTTCATGTTTAATTAATAATTGTCTTAGAAAACAAAGCTTTTGGTATCAATCATTTTTGGGTGCCAGTTAATTCACCTGAATTGAAATTTTATACTTTTAATTTTTATATTAAAAAAATTTGAATGAAAGATACAAAATTACAGATTATTTTTTCTTGTGAGTGAGAAAAGAAGCAAATCCTTGAGCAAGACGGTGATTTCATTTAAAATTACAAAATTAATTGGAATAGGTAAATGTCACTTTGATTGTGAAGTGTTGGATTCCAACACAGTGTTCCAAGCACAGAAGCAAAAAAGAAAAGACCACAGAAAACAAAATTTCCAAATTTTGTTTAAATTATGTGGATGGTCTCCAGATTCTTGACCCGTTTACAAGTTAGCCCACAAGGGATGAGAGGATTAACAAATTAAATAAACCAATTAAGATTAATAAATGCATTAATCAATAAATAAATAAAACATGAAAATTGACGTGATCTTGGAGACAAATGATATCATCTAGCTAGCTAGGAAAAGCACATTATCATAATATGCGTTGAATTGTTTAGTTCTAAATGATTAGGATTAAAATTCTAATAACTTTAAATATATATTTTGAAAAAAAAGGGATCCGGATCTTCTTGTTAAAGAGTGTATAGGAGCAGAGGTTAAGCATAATTAATTATTGTTTTAAAAAATATTTTTGCATTTAATGTTTTGTTCTTATCAAATTTAATAGGAAACAACGCATTAATTGTAATTTATTTCTTTAAATATCATTTTAATCTGTGCCTAGTGGCATTTGTTAACATTTTTCATAATTAATAAATTCAGTAAATTAATTAATAAATAAATCAAAATTCATTTTGCAATCATTAAAATAATATTTGTAAATGCAAACATCATTCTGGAGGTTGATTTTGGAAATTATAAGGGAGTTCATAGAGATAAGGGATATTGGATGATCAATTAAGTAAGAAAGTCGAGGAAGTAAAAAATGGTGCTTTAAGTTTAAATATGAAAGTTGAAAAAGGGAAAGAGGTTGAATGTACTCAAAATTATGGGAATTTGATGCGGAATCAGAGGAGTGCAAATGTGTTTGTGAAGAGATTGAACATTGTGATGATTATATTTCTAATAACAAATTGAAATTTTCGAGGAAAAAGGAGAAAGCGTAAAAAATTCGATTGGAGTAAAAACAGGCTCACTCAAAGACTGCAATGCGGATATCTAGGTCACCGGTGATTTTGAAGGATGATACTTGTATCTCAGATAATGATATAAGACGAATGAATTCTTTACATAAACATGAGGCTTTCAAAACTTGAGAGCTTAAAAAATTTTTGGGCTATCCCATGCAGGTGATGAAGAGCTTATCATTATGAACAAAGAAAGCGAGATGATTATGTTATCAATTAGTAGTTTATGACTACCTTTTGGAGTTTTGATGAATCTTTTGGTTCGTTGCATCTATTATATTCACTTAAATTCTTTGCTAGTAGTGTTCTCGTTAAGGGTGGTCATGAAATTGATTTTTGTTTATTTGTTATTGTTCTGTAGTATCTAAATGCTATGGGGTTCGATCTTTTTCTATCAATTAGGTGGATTATCTGTTGTTCTTTTGTTCTCAAGTAAGTGTTTCGTATTACTTCTATTGTTTGTATTGAAACTCTTTTTGCTAACAATTACTAGTTTTGTAATCGGTTGCTTTAATAAACTTGACTTAGCAAAAAAATTGTAAATACAAATTAATTCATCTAAAAAATATTACCGTACAATTAATTGCCTATCTACAAAATACAATGACTAATTTGCTCGTGGACATGCGTGAAAATTTAACTCCTTTGAATATTTCCTTGCCTTTGCTTATATATTTATCTATAAAATTACTCATGCACTAAGAAAATTAAATACTAAGAACTAATTAAAGACAGTAGAAAAACGACAACCTGGGATTTTTGTTGACATGACATGATTAATTAATCTTGATGGTCTAAATGAAATTAAGATTTCTCAATGTAAAGAGCATGATTAGGCAGATCAATTATGCGTGAGTGCAGATTATTAATTAATTGGACATTCATACGACAAATGCTGAGATGAAACAAAGTTTTTTCATATTATCACCTATCTCATTTTCGCAATTAAAAAAACAAAAGGTAGCTAGTTCATCTGATGGGGATTTTTCTACCAATTTCATGTGTGCCACATATATGTATAGAAATAAATATATATAAAGAGATCCATTTATATTAGTGCAAGAGTTATACATATTTTTTATAATTGGATCAAAATTAAATCTATGACACTTACACTTTCACTTACAACTATAGGGAATAAGTTTTTAACGAAAATTTTTTTCATGTTTAGTAATGTTTTAGAAACGTCATTAAATGATTTGTAGTGATTTTAAAAAATGCCGCTAAAAACAATGGTTATACTTGTAGTAGAAAATATAACGACGTTTCAAGAAAAAATACTATTAACTTAATGACATTTGAACACAAAAATACTATTAAATTTAACAGTGTTTGTGTGTAAAAATGCTGCTAGAATATAAAAATTAGCAATGTTAGTAACAAAAAAAAACCATTAATTTCTATAATTTAGCAATATTTTTACGCATAAATACCGCTAAATTAAAAAAAAATCTATTTTTTTATTTATTTCAATATTTATTATTATAATTAAATAAAAAATATTTAAAAAATAAAAACAAATTTAAATTCATAAATTGAATATTATAAATATTTAAATATCTAAATATATAATTTATTCCAATATACAAATAACACAAATTTAATACAATAATATTGAAATTGTTTCAATACATTAACCACAAGAGAAGACACATATTGGCTGCCTTGGCACGTTCAAGCAAACAAGAAAAATTCATTTTACCGGGTTCAAAGGTTTGTAGTTTCTTCGCCAACATGAATATGTTTCCTGAAATGCCCTACCTAATACCATCAAAAGGTTCATTTTATTTGAAAATATTCAAAAGCACTCGATACTATAATCAATTCCGTATTTGGGAGTAAATAAATAAAAATAAATAAATACAAAGCATTTGAGCTAAAATTAGCTCGAGTAATTAGGGCCAATATTTTTCCAAGAATGACAGAAAAAATTACGTTGGACCTTAAATTTCTGCAAAAAGAAGTGCATGTCATCTAGTGATCACCAAATTAAAAAGCTAAGTAGAAATTAAAGCAGAAAATTATTGTTTTTAATTTTTTACAACTTTTTTTTTTTAATTTTGAAGTAATATTACAATGCACTTAACAATTAAACCAAATGCACAATTACCTTAGGCAATGAATTAATTAAAAACCTAGTTCTTCTACTGAGTTTGAACCTTATTGTCAACCGTCAACCACTCCTGAGATTACAAGAACACAAGCAAGAGCTAAAAATAATTATTCAGAAAAAAAAAATGGTAGTCATACATAATTAAGAATTTAACAATTAAAAAGAAATTACAGAAGGAAATTGAGTAGATACTTCCTAATTTTAAATTACTAAAATTTTATTTGACAATATGATTTTTGTCTCATTGTGAAATTTGATCATAAATGCAAAGGCAATACAAGAAAAAGATTACGATAAAATATCCTAACTATGCGACAATGCTGTTTTTCTAATCGCAAAAACAGATAAGAACCTAGTTTCGCAATTATGGTCATGGCATGGGCAATATGGCATTACAGAAATGAAGCTGTTATTAATAGCATCTACAGGACGTATCAAAGTACAGTGGCTTTCACCCAAGAATATATAGTTCAATATCGAGAGGCTCAGGATAAACAGTTGACTGTAACCCAGCAAAAGCAGGTGAAATGGAGGGCACCACGAGAGAATGTTATAAAGTTAAATTTTGATGCTGTTCTGGACATAAGAAACAGAAGAGGTGGAATCAGGGTAGTAGCTAGAGACTGGAAAGGATAAGTGATGGGGGCTGCGTGCAGGATAGCAAAGTGGTGTAGGCATGCGAGGATGGTAGATGCACTAGCTGTAACAACGGCTACCATATTTGCTAAAGAAATGTGTATCTAAAGAATTGAGCTTGAAGGAGACGTGTTGACTGTCATAAATCAAATACTACGGAATGAGGGGTGCCTATCTTTTTAAAAGGTACTATTATTGATGAAGTGAAGCCTCATCTGAGCACCTTTATGGAATACTTTTGTCAGCATATACAGCGTGAAGCAAACACAGTTGCTCATGCATTAGCAAAAAAGGCTTTGGGATATGAAGGGAATGCGTTTTGGGTAGAGGAGATCCCAGACGATATTTATGTATTTTCCTTAAAAAAAAAGCAACTATTTTTAAATTCAAATCATATTTTAAATTCTCTTAAATATATATATATATATTTATCTTTCTAACTTTAAGTAATTTTTTTTTTTATAATTGATTTCAGTTGACTCGTGATACAATTCAGACAAAACTTTATAAATGGTATAGATATTTTCTTTTATTATATATATATACAATCATATAATCAACATATTTATATATTATGAGCTCAAGGCTTATTAGTATGATTAGTTCACTCATCTTCTTTAGAAAGTAGAATCTCCCAAGACTAGGATTCGATTACTAACAATTATAAGTTCTCTTTCCAGATTTCCTCTTTAACTCTTAGAGTATCTTTAAATGAAGAATTTTGAAATGTTTCAATTCATAATAACTGCAGTTGTAATTGCATTATTTGGAAAAAAATTTTAATTAAATATTGGAATTAAATTAAAAAATAATTGTAATAAAAATAATGATATTAGATATAAAAAGTATAATATTAAAAAATACAATATAAGTGTCCTTAGATTTATAAAATTGTATAGATATTACTAAAAATATAAAAACTAAAAAAAATTATAATGAACTTTTGTCGTTAAAATTGAAGAAAATAAATCTTATCAACAGTGGTTCGATATTATCTTGATCACTTAATTATCATTTTTAAACATGCCATTATAACATTAATATATAGTTAGGATAAGATTGAAATTTATATTTTTAATAAAAATTACCAATCATATCTAAATGTGTACAATTTTAGGACAATTTTTTTAATTTTATTCAAAAATGATAAAAAACAATAATATCAACAAGTTAGGTCTACATTGGACCTCACTTACACTAGACCTTTATATTAGACCTTACTTATATTAAACCTATCTCAAATATACTAATAGTTGAGTTTTTTAATTTCACAAGTAGGATTAAAACAATTATACACATCATTTATATATTTTAAAAAAATAATTAAAAAAAATAAAATGAGACATGTATCATCATCTTAACGTCATTTATGGAGTTAAAAATTTTTTCATTTAAAAAATAAGATAAAAAATTACTTCTTTTTTTTTTTAATCAAAGCTTAAGATAAAAAATAAAATACAAATTTAAAAATACAAATGTCCAAATTTTCTAATACAAAAATCAATTGAATAAACTCCTAAAATCCTGTGAAATTTCTTATTTTTTGAAAATTTGTCTTTTGTTTAGACATCGATTTTGTCCGGATCTACTGTTCCTATTTTAAGTATATCAATACTAATATTAATAATAATAATAATAATAATAATAATAATAAATATTTAAAATATATAAAAATTAAAAATTAAAAAAAAGAAGGGAAATGAGACAGAAACCAGGGGCTGGTACGGCGCCGTTGCTGCCCCCCTGTCAGCCTCCCGACCAACCCCCTGCCAGCCTCCTGACCAACCCCCTGACCAGCTCCCTTTCAGCCCACCTATAGCCATCCTATAGCCACCCAGATCTCCCTAAATTGAAGCCTTTTAAAATCCCCAACCATTTTCCCCCTTCTTCTCTCTCGGCTTTCTAAAAAAAAAAAAGAAGAAAAACCCATTCGATACCCACGAAAACCCTCGAGCTCCGACGAACCCTTCCCCCCTCAAAACACCCTCAATAACCCCAGACAGTCCCCCATTCCTACGCAAAAAGAAAAACCAAACTTCAAATACCTCCCCTAAAATACACAAACCGAAAACAAAACAAATCTACACAAACACATAAAAATAAAAAACAAAACAAAACACAGTCCTCCCCGTATTGAGTAACCCAGTGCCAAACTACCTGCAAGAAAGAAGATATATCAGTTTTTGTTCGCAACCAAAAAAAGGGAGAAAAAATGAGAGATCCAAAACTTTGAAGACTGATTCACGACGGTCAAGCCACTTTCAGGCCAAACGAAGGTCGGATCTGGAAAGAGGGTGTCCAGAGGAACCTTCGGTAACTTTCTGACCATTTTTCGATCACCGACGACCACCGCCGGCGGTGACTCACACGGCGGACGGTGCAGGCATGGCACCGAATTTCGGCGAGACCAGAGACCCCCCAGAGCCTTTTTTGGTGAAACCAAACAGACTGAAAAAAAAATTTCAAACTTTTATAGAAAACAGAGGACCAAAACGACGTCGTTTTGAGCCTAAGACCAAAATGACGCCGTTTCAAGCTTAGAGGATCCGCAAGTGGATCGAACCCGACTCGAGATTCGCGTAACCCGACCCGACGACCCACTTTAGCCAGCCTTGAATCGGTTCAGATGAACCGCCAGTGAACCGGTCTGAATTGTTGGTCGCCCAAACCATCGATCCAACCGTCGAACCGGTCAGACCACCTGAACCACTGATCCAATCGCCAAATAGGTCAAACCGCCCGGATTAGCGTTGACCGAACTGTTGACCGGTTCGGTTCAGGTAAAATTTTTTTTTTCTTTCTTTCTCTAAATTTTTTTTTATATATTATTGTTTTTGTCATTTTATATTCATGCATGATAAATGTTTAAATTTATTATGATAAATGTCTAATTGTTATTGATAATAATAAAATGAATAATATAAAACAATAACTAAAAAATATATTAAAAATATTTAAATAATAATAATAATAATGGAATAAACTTTCTATTTTCCCTACCTAGATGTTGGAGGGAATAAAATTTTTTTTTCAAACAAATAATTCCATCTAGATGTTGGGGAATTATTATTAATAAAATTTCATAAATATATATATATAAGAAATTCTTAATTAGTTTCTCAAAATTTATAAAAAAAATAATAAAAAAATTGAACTTGCTCCGAAAGTCCGCTTAGATAATGGAGGATTTTTAGAGATGTTCGCGTTTTAATTAAACCTCAAACCCTAAACTTAAACCTTAAATACTTTTTTTTTTAATTTTTAAAATCCTAAGTTTTTAAAACCCTTAAAAATTAAAAATCCCCTAAAATCCAAAATCTCTTAAAATCCAAAGTCCTAAAAATCCTAAGGACTTGTGTGAAAATTCTATTTGAAGCAATTTGTTCCCAAATATCGCCTAGATGATGGGGTATTTAGGAAATTTTATTTTGATAAATCTTTTCATACAAGTTCTTAATTCACATTAATAATAAGATTAATAAATAAAAAGTATAATAAAATTGAGATCTTAAATATAAACAGTCGCACCTAAGCTCTGCCTAGATGTTGGAGATTCAGGGTGATCTCATTATACTTAAGAATCCAATTCTTAAATTGCATTTTACATGGCATTCATTAGCATTCATACATTATCGTGTTATCATCAATAATTGTTTGCATTATTCTCTTTTTAATTACTACTTGGTGATAAAATATTTAATAATAAAAAAGAATAATACTTAAAAAAAAATCTTTTTGTGATATTATAAAATAAAATAAAAATAACATTCCGAAAGAAATAATTATTGGTACTCTACTAGATGTTGGAGAGTTACTAACAATCATTTTCTATAAAGATTGTTATTTCATTTTAAAGATTATTGTCTTGAATCTTAAGCGAAAAGAGTTATTTTTAATTCTGCTTAGATGTTGAAGAATTTTAAGATAATTCTTTAACTTAAAGATTTTCACAATATTTCTAAATAAAAATTTTAGCAAAAAAATATTTTTAAAACGAAGGGAATTAATATTAAATTTCAAGTCAAAATCATTTTATCCAATACCGAAAATAGCGCATAATTGAATGGTACCAATTTATGGGCGTTATGGGGGTGCTAGTCCTTCCCCACGTATAACCGACTCTTGGACCCAACCTGGTTTTTCGTAGACCGAAATTTATCTTTTTGATAAACTTTAAACTCATTTTTATAAGTTTTATTAAAAGGATAAACTTTTGGGTGACCAATCACACCCTAACAAAGATTGGTGGTGACTCCCCTCTTTTTATTTTTTTCGATTTTAAAATACTACGTTTTACGTATGGCGGTCCCAAAACCGATACGACACTTTGCTTCTTTTTTTTTTTCTCTTGAACCGTACCCACACAACTAACTCCATCATGAAGCTGTGCCAACAGAAGTTCTATTTCTCCCAGACTTCCAACATCTTTCAAGAATAACTGTAAGTCAATCTCCTTCCATATTCCATATAGTGATGATAGAACTTTTCAAAATATGTGTTTAAGAAGTTTGACACAAACAATATCCCTCCATTTTAGGAAGAATTCGGTAGCCACTAAAAATCTATCATATCCTGGAAATTTGATGCTAGTTCAACGATGAACTTTTTGTGTTTCTTGATTCAAAAATGAATCTTTAATTGTTCCAAAACGATTATTTTGATCAAGTTTTTGGAAAGACTCATTTGTCCAAAGCAGAATCTTATAAAGGAAGTAGAAAGTTCCAATATTTATTAGTTGAAAACACTTTCTAGATTCAAGTTGGAGACCTTGTGTTTGATCGCAATAGTCAATTTTGATCATAAAAGATAAAAGATGCAATAAAAGATGGCAAATAAAAATCAACTACATTGAAAAGTTACACTTGCTAATGATGTACATGAATCGGGTTAGATCCGATTAAGGTTTTGTTTATTTTATAGAAAATTACTTCGAAAAAATAATTTTAGAAAAATATTTATATTTTTTGAATTGAAAATTTTTTTTTATTTGAATGCGTTAAAGAAAAATATTGTTCTTTATTTGATTGCTTTTTAAAAATTTTAATTTTTTAAAAAATAATATTAATATAACTATTAAAATAATAAAATTTATTTATTATTAAAATATATTGAAATTATTTATTATTAAAATTATTAATATTAAAAAAGAATTACATTTTAAGAATAATATTTAGTATTAAAATATTATGTTAATATAAAATATTTAAAATAAAACTATTTATTATACTTTATATTATTTATTAATATATTAATATTAATATAATATTTATTAATTAAATTAATAATATTATTATATTATTTATTAATATAATATTATTTAGTAATTTATTATAATATTATTTCTTAATATTATTTATTAATATATTATATTAATAGTATATTATTTATGAATAATATATTTTTTGTTAATATATTATAATTTTATTTATTAATATAATCTTATTTATAAGTAAAATTATAATTAAAAATATTAATAAATAATTCTACTCATAATCAATTTTTTCTAAAAAATATTATCTCTTTTTTAAATTCGTAAGATAATTTTTTTAAAAATGATCTTATTTTTCATTGATTAATAAGTTATTTTCTGTTGACTAACCAATTTTCAACTAAACAAACACCAAAAAATATGAAAATAATTTTCTGAAAGTCATTTTCCGATGAAACAAATGACCCTAACTCTTATTATCACTTAAAATTTTTCATAAGATCTCATTTGAAATAGTTAAGTTTGTTGATTAGTGAAAATAATATTAAAATATTATTTTTTTAATATTAATGTTTTAATATTTTTAAATAAATTTATTTTTAAAATAAAATTTATTAATAAAATAATATTTTGTACTAGTCAAGCTCAAACTATAATATTAACCATTATATTATATCAAAGATGCCTTCCTTTGATCAAATTGGCTCTTTTCTTTGCACTCCAGGTAGCATTGACCTCTGTAATTGCCATGAAATCCATCTATAAACCACTGATGTTACCATCTTAAAACAATATCAAGAAACTCCAATGGCCTTCATCTATATGATCATTAGAAAACCAAAGACTGAAAATTGAATGCCATGTAAGAAAAAAGAAAATGACAGAAGAAAATCCATCGGATGCTTCTCAATTCAAAGTAAGGTTGCAATACAATATATAATAATACTGAAAGGTTGAACATTAAATAAAAGGCATAACTAAAATGCATGCATGAGGAAATGAAAACTAATGGTTGAATGTAGTTCCTCCATGCAGAGAAACTAGGCTCTCTGCATACATTGCTAACGCAAATGCACACCCTTCAAATTGGAGTGTCTTTATCTCTTGGTTATTTGGATGATGCCAGGCCAGAAAGTCGCCTTCTTCATTCTCAAAGAAGATTTCACCATTGCTACCGACTCCTAATGGTATATGCACATAAGGAATAGGTTCAATGGTGAATAATTTTGTCCAAGAGTTCTTTAGACCTAGTTCACCCAACACCCATACATCATAGCATTTATTTCTCACACGATAATCATGACAAAGAAACCCACCAAGTGATCCGTTGATTTCCATTAAATAGGTAAGATAGTATGTTGTTCTACAGCTCTTACCCAAACCCCCATCAGGAAAAGGTGTTGCAACGAAAACTTCATTACTCATGTCAAATGAAAGGAGCAAATCTTCATTATCAACAATTGCCCAACAGTGATAAAATCCGTTGGAGTAGACTTGATTGTTCGTAGAAACATAGAAGAAATCAACATTCAAGTTGTCATTGAACTTTCTCCAAGAATCAGTAGTCAAGTTGTACAAAGCAACTCGCTTACCTCGGGGAGCGCTGAGGTCGTTATATTTGAAATTTCCGTCCCAAAATGTGTCAATCCTAATTACTTTATACTCATCTCTCTTCGAATCATAACCCAGACCAGCTACTTCAATACAATTTTTATAGCTTGGCGGATACTCAAAAGGGACGCATGGGGAGAATTTTAAATTCCTTAGTCCCAATGTTCCACAAAAGAACACCACCAACACTGTTCCAAAGACAAATTATGCCATTGCAATAACCTCGGATATCTATACTTATTGGGTCATCGGGTAAAGGAAGGAATATCAAGATTGGCAACAAGATCAAGAGTTTGATTGGAAATAAAAGAGACCATGGTCTTTCTCTCTATATAATTCTCATATTTGATGAGGAGACAGGTCCTGTTTTTACTAAAAGAATAGTGGGCAGTAATAAATTGAGGGCTTTGAATCAAGGAACACCAAGACTTACCAACACACCTAAATCGCTTTAGAGATTTGACAGGTAATCTTGCCAGAATATCCACCACAACATCTTCAGGCAGCGAATGGGTGATTGCTGCTGCAGCCATTGATAATCTTCCTTCACGTGTTCCCCTGTGCGTATGTAAACGAGAGATTGAGTATACGTACGCCACCTGGATCCAAGTAAAAAAATCCAAGAATACTCACCGCCGATTAAACTGCCAAAACCCAACAAAAATCTCTATCTCTTACACTTCTCCTTTACTGCCTTTTTAATTTTTGATAGTGTATTTCACGTGTTCTGGGGAAATTCTTGTGTTTTCGAATGAAATAGGTTTTTTTTTTTTTCTTTTTAATTCTAGATAGAATTTGACGAAGGTTCTGGGTATTAGGCTATTTAGGTGGGTGTGGTGGTTTCGGTGAGCAAGGGGTTGAAAGTGGTTTGGGCTTGGTGTTCCAGGGGCTAGGATGTTGGCTCTGGTAACTTGGTCGTTGGGCATTGGTATTGAGCTATCTGTGTAAAGGAGATGGGCTTTGCACTGGGCAAGGATTTCGACGCTGGTGGTGATTGTGGTCGTGCTTGGGGGTGTGCCAGTGGATGAGAAGGCTGGCAGTTGATGACGGTGGGTGTCTGTGTTGAGAAGGCCCGTGTGAGCTCTCTGTGTGCTTCGGGTGGTGACAACGGCCTGTCTGAAGCATTGGTAGGTAAGGTGAGAGTTGTGTTAAAAAAAATCCATAAAAAAAGTTATGGACAAAAGCGTAATTCGTGAGTGTGAGCCCAAAGTTCCTTTATCAAAACCCTTTTATTAATGTCTCATGTTATGGATTAAGTTTAATGGACGTTCGAGGTCCAAAAGTAAAATAGAAAGACAATCACTCTAATTCAATCTTGATTATTGTTTGCTTGTTACAAATAAATAGAATGGAAAATAAATCCTACTTTTCTTACTGTGTTTTAAAAATTCATCGCACCAAGCGAAAAAATGTCTTAAATATATTGATTCTCTTAATCAAAATTACTAAATGTTGTGATACAAAAGTTAGCTACGAAATTAAGGTTTTACCAGGAAACTTAGCAATTTAGATAAACTCAACAAAACCAAAAGCATTGACCTCTATAATAGCCATAAAATCCATCTAAAAAAATATAAAAATTATCATCTTCATGCAATATTAAGTAACTCCATCAATGGCCTATATCTATATATTCATTAGCAAACCAAAAGTTCATTTCACCAAACAAACTAGCACTACAGGGATTTTTGTTTTTAGCGGTGTTTTTTTTACCATTTAACGGCGTTTATTAACACCACTATAAGTTTGCGGCATTTGCGAAAAAATGCCACGCAGAGTGCCACCTATTCACGCGTCGCAGTAAATAACGGCGTTTTTGAAAAAAATGCCTCAATATTAGCGGCGTTTGTATTTGAAACGCCGCCATTTTAGCGGCGTTTATATCTTTTAGACGCCGTTACTTTAGAGGCGTTTGAATATGAAAACTTGTCAATATTAGCGCGTTGTTGTAAGAAAACACCGTTGAATTGACGGCGTTTGTAATAGAAAATGCCATTACTTTAGAGGCGTTTAAATCTGAAAACGCCTCAATATTTGCAGTGTTTGTATGTTTTAGGTGCCGCTAATTCAGTGACATTTTTATAAGAAAAATGCTGTTGCTTTAGTGGCGTTTCTATAAAAAAGCCATCAAAGTAGCAGCGTTTGCTGGAAAGAGCGCGCAACTTATAGTAGCGTTTTTTGCTACAAACGCCACTAAATTATTCATTTAGCGGCAACGCCTAACGCAAACGCAGCCATTATGTAAAAATGTATTTTTTCTTATAATAAATTTTATTTTCAGTAAAGAGCTAAATTTTAGAAACTAAAATTAATATAACTTCATCCATATTTAAATATACATCTAATTAATACAAAGTTTAATAATTAGTATAATAGCATTCAAATATTATAAATACATTAACCAAATAACATATTAAAATATATGAAATGGATAACTACATACATTTTGCTGGCTGCCAATTGATGAAGAAAATTTTTCACTTTGGTCACTAGCGTGCTCAACAACTTACTAAATAATACCATACAATTTTTAACACTTCATTGTATGCTTATTTTTTGTTTAAAAATTTTAATATTTACTAAATATAATACCTAAGTTGACGGAGCACCAAGATCATTTCCTGGAAATTGTTGTTGCACAAAATTCATAAGATGATTGAATCGATCATGCAACTGCTGAAATTTTGCACGCTCTAGCTCCATTCTAGCACGTTCTTCTTCAATTTTGGCACACTCCTATTCTCTTTCTGCTTCCATTTGTTGAAAACGTTGTTGCATAGTTTGCAACTCCCCTCTCAATAGTGAAATGTCTCGCGAAGACTGGATTTGCTGAGAGTGTAAATTACGGAGAGTTATGTCCTTAGTAGGCAGATGGTGTTGGACCCAATCCAAGGCCTCGAACTCGTCCATGCCTTTCTTTTCCAGCAACTTCGATGAATATCTGATTTTTCATTTCTTGCATGTTGAGAGAACCTTCAGCTGCTATTTCAATCTCAGCTGCCATTTTATCTTTTGCTTTCGCTTGTGAATTTGTCACAAACAACTATCAAGTTTAATGATTAATTGATTATATGTTAAAAAGAGTTAATATTTACTTTATGTTAAAATAGATGATACAAATTACCACAATTTATTGCATTTTGACATTCATGTAAGATTATCTTTTTTTGTGTGTGTTACACAAAAAGTTTCGCACGTTCAATTGTATGGCCCTTCTCATTCTCCTATAGAAAAACATATGTTATTTGATAGGATACATAATAACCACAACTTATTTATGCATATCAATCATGTCAATCAAGTATTACAATACAATAACTTTAATATTCTTTATTTATATTTTAGCCCTGTAACAACACAATAGTCTTAGATATACGCAATGAATAAAATCATTTTAGGCTTTCACACACTTTGATCATAGAAACCAAATTCAATTAGTTTCTCCCGGTTTAATATAAAGGATTGAAGCCAATCAATATGTTGAAAGCCATCCAAAATTTATTTGGATATTTGCCTTTCATATGCAAAAATATTCCTTAACAGACATAATTGACAACTTTTTCTCCCATATCAACCATAGAAACCAAGTTCAATCAATCGGACAAGCTTAATATCAAGTCTTGAAGCTATCGAAACTGTTAAAATATAACAATAACAACAACCAGATAATAAAGGTGTAAATATGCATAAACAGTAACTTTTCATACATATCATCTGTGTAACTAAGTTTCAAAACTTTTGATAAGTTTAGATCATGTATTAAAATAATAAAATCTATTAAAACAGAACAATAAATGTTAATTTTCACATTTACCTTTTAACAGCAGAAAAAGTGCTTTCATTGGAATAAGTTAAGTATCATAAACTTACGATTTCTTTTTGCTTTCTTGCAAAACTTTTTGATCTACTTGTGTGGCTATATTTCTGTTGCTTTCTGCTACCAATCCCAATCTGTTCTCTTTCATGTCAAAAAAAATAATTGCTTATATGATATAAATACAAATATTACCAACTGAAACCATTAAACATTTTCATCATTTCATTCTATTATATGAAGTTATAAACTAGTACCTCTTATTTTCTTGAGAATCAAAATCTAACCAGTTGTTCACATTGCCACCTAATCACATTACAGGGTAGATTTTACATCATCGCCTCTACAGTAGTATTTTGATCGAAATACTTATTCTTCAAACTATATTTATAATCTTTCCATTTCTTTTCCAATGACTTAAACACAAATGAAGTTGGTATTTCAAGTACAAATCTTGCCTGTAATAATACAATAAGAAATGTTTGAATAAGTAAACAAAGTGTTAAATAAAAAATTTGAATATATCTAATTAATTATACTAATACCTCACTAAAGTTTAACGCATTGGCCTTAACTTCTTCTGGTACATTATGCCATGTTTCATAATGAATAGGCAATTTCATTCCATTACGGGCTAGCATACCTAGAAATCCAGCCAACAATTAAGCCTCTTCACCAATTGGTTGCCTATCAGAGTTTACAAATACTATAATATGTTCGTTAGGAGGGAGTGCAAACAGTTCCTTCAAAGTTGTCTAGCCTCTGGTCCTCCATTGACCATTGTTATCAACTGCAACAAATATAAAATTTATTTGTAAAATCACAATACTTATATCATTATACGCGAATTTTAAAATTGGAGTATATCATACCTGCATTCAAATTTAAAGCATAATCAATTGATGGGGTACTATCTAAACCTAGACCTCCCGTATTATCAGATCCAATATCAGTTGAAGGGTTAGAAGTGACGGAGTTAGATCGGACTATACGTTTATTTACCTCTAAATAATGCGGTCCATAGCCAACTTCTATAGGTGCCGTAGATAGTTTAGAAGTAATATCTCTGATATGTTTTTCTTTCAACCTATTTCTTCCGCATTGTAGCTTACCTACATCATAAAAGTGAATATATAAAAAATGTTAGTTCAAAAGATATATAAAGACAATAATTATACAATAGTTAATGTGACATTATTTACATACTATTATTTACCGCATTATGTTTTAAACACTCGAATTGCAAATTATAGGTGCAGGGAATCATGGTTCGTAAATGGCTTGAGTAATATCTTCGCGAACCCATTGAGTGTAGGTACTGAAGATATTCTCATCCAAGTTTTGTTCAGCAAAAAGATAACATTCAGTTTCATGATCAACATCATTTTGGTATCTAACCCCATATCAAATAAGTCTCTAGGTTTGTTTTCGAAGAACAACAAACCAACCTAATTCTTTCAGATCTTCAGAGTTAAATACTTGTTTTACTTGAGATGAAAATACATAAGGTTCATCGATGAGTTGTTGTCCAGGGTGAATTAATTGAGAAAAATTCACAAGTGTAAATCCGTACTGATCTTTCTTAAAACCTCTCGCACTATTCACATAAGCCCAATCACACCGAAATAAGACAACTTTCCACTTCCCATAATAATTCAACTCAATGATGTCATTAATCATGCCATAATAGTCAATATTTCCCTCTGAGGGGTTTATGTT